TAAATGTATAGTACCACCAAAACTACCACTGGTACTCACCTTGGTGGCCACTTCAACTCTAGGTGTTTGAGATAGGAATTTGGAGGAAAATGTTTCAAACCTCCGTACTCTCCTGTCGCCATACTAATACACTCTGGCCAAAAGCAACTTAGTGGAGGAGAGCGTTCGCTGGCCTTACACTTGTGGGCCGCAGACTATCACTGAAGGAAAGCCAGGCAGGAACTTGAAACAGAAACCATGGCAGAAAGTCGTTTTCTGGTTTGTCTCTGCTTGCTCTCAGTCTCATGCTTAATTGGCCTTCTTACATCACCCAGGGCCATCTGGACTGGGCCCTCCTGTATCAGGTAATAATCAAGACAATCCCCACAGACAGACTCACGAGTCAATCTGACCTGAGCAATTCCTCGGGCAAGGCTTTACTCTGAGCCGATTCCAGGCTGTTAAAGATAACTAGAAGAGCTAGTTAGCAGAGACTGGGATGGACAGAAGAATGGGACCGCGTGCTCCCCAACTCCTCCTAGGGAAAGATGCCGCAAGTCTATGGAAAGCAAGTGGGACTCCATCAGTGACTTCTCCATATCAGGGTGTTAGAATTCCTAGCCATTCCCCCAGCTACATGTACATTGGCAAGATTCCTAGTCATCCCAGGGCCTTATGTCCTACTTAATCCATGTGCTGCATGATCACATAATTTGTGTGCTGCGTGATCATGTGATCTATATACATGCATGGCATAGCCACATAAGCCCATATGTGCACGTGCAGGGCAGGGTGAGGGAGAACCTATAAAAGCAGGTTCCACATATTCTTCCCCCCTCTTCCTGCACGGTCATTCCATGGGCCTATGTACACCTTTCCTATTCCCGTCCCTTAATAAATACTTATAGGGGGTTTTGTTTTACCTCAAGGCTTTTCTTGCATGGTAAACAGTGCCACTTAATGAATAACACTGTGCCACTTAATAAATAGCACAGGGATTTTAAGGAAATTCCTGGGCTCCTCTGTATTCTCAGGGGGCTTCTGTATTATAGGACAGGTTGTTTTTTTTTTTTAGGTTGCAGGACAGCTCTTAAAGGGTACCAGTTAGTCTGGGAATCTAGAGCTGTATCTCCTAAACCTGAATGGTGATAAGATAAAGAAGGGAGAAGCAGTGAACTGGGACAAGGCACGGAGCACATGAACCCAAGCTGAATGTTTGGACGCTCTTGAAAATAAGGGCCAAGCAACAGGAAGGAAGGGCTGTGAGATCGGGATAAAACCTGCACCCAGATTGTTGTTTCACTCAAGAAATGGACCGAAGAAAGGTACAAGGGCTAGATGAGAAGGCATCTTTCAGGACTACCCCAAAAGTCTATTAAAAATTTTTTACAAATATTATTTTGGGGGAAAGTGTGCCACAGTCACCACGAGAAGGCTAGAGGAAGCTTGCTGGGGTCCGTTCTCCCTTCTACCATGTGGATCTCCAGGACGGAACACAGGTCATTGAGCCTGTCATCGGTGTCTTTGCCCACGGAGCCATCTCGCCAGCCTGCCTGGCATGTGTGTGGTAAACGCCATTCTTTCTTTTCCTAATTACGTGTGTGCATGTGTGTCTGGGTGTGTCTAGGTTTTTGCACATGCGTGCTGTGCCTGCATAGGCCAGAAGAGAATGTTGGATCTCTTTGGAGCTGGAGTCAGAGGCAGTTGTGAGCCACCTGACATGATGCTGGGAACAGGACTAAGGTCTTCTTGAAGAGTAGTCCTCGCTGTTGACCAGTAAGTCATTACTCCGGCCCCATCCATTCAGACTTTCTTTCCTTTTTGAGATTTTATTTTTATGTGTGTTATGCCTGCAGGTATGTCTGTGCATCATGTGTGAACAGGCCATAAGAAGGCATCAGGTCAGATCCCCTCAGAATAGAATTGTAGTTGGTTGTGAGTTGCCATGTGAGTGCTGGGAATTGAACCCAGGTCCTCTGAAAGAGCAACCAGTGCTCTTAACCACTGAGCCATCTCTCCAACCCCATTCAAACTGTCTTAATACAATGATGCTTCAACTCAGGAGAGAAGGACTTCATCCACACAAGACAGGTCTTAGATTGGGGATGCGGAGGTGGTATGTTCTTTTTCTTCTGTCCTTACCTTGGCTATGCAAATTCTTTAGTTCTGATTTGGGCAGTTCAGCATTGTGTTTAGATGAACTCTGAACTCCATTGAGCCAACACGGGTGGAAGATGAAGGGTTAACCTCTGGACTTCAGGGACATCATCTGTATCCATTTGTGGAATTTAGTCCACTCTGACTCCACCACACCATGCCAACACATGACTCAGTGGTTTTCTTCCTCACTCATGCTTCTAGGCCACTTTGCATTTTCTTCTTACCCGTTCTTGTGAACACATACAGAAATGTACACAGAGCATGTGTGCTGCTCCTCCTGATTGGATGGTAGGTGCAACATGACTAATGGGCCATCTAGTTTCCTCTGGAGGCTCACTGGAATTTTCCATAGCAAGAGTTCCCTGACAGGATGCAGCGTCTGAAGCTAACCATGTTACATCGGAAAAAGCATCAACCTGCTATACCATTTGCAGAACGGAACCAAACTTGGTTCTCTCCTAACTGTGGGGGCGGGGGAGTGGAAACATAAATTCTAGACCTGGCTTTGGCAGAAATTTACTATGTGACTTCTCTGCCTTGGGGACTTATCTCAGCTGTTCCTTCTGCTAAGTAAATTGTGCCTACCTTCCTATCACATGATTCTCACCTAAACAAGATTCAGGTTCTAGGCATTCCTGAGGGATGCTGTCACCTTGGGTGTAGTTTGTATCCTCTCTGCTACATTCCACCAGGCCCTGGCCATGCTCATCCCATTCATTTATTCAACGTGCTAGATGCTGGAAAAAGAGAATTACCCTTGAGGAGCTTACATAAGGGCTGGAGAAGAGAGAATGGACAGTCATAAAATTACCCCTTGTGTGCAACCCAGAGCTCAACTGTGATGTTTCCATTTTTAAACTTATGATCAGGAGAACTTGCCAAGAGAATAAAGGTTCGTGTGAAGAAATGAGATCCACAATTGTTCTTGCCCAGTTGCCCAGAGGTCCTGTGCCTCCCCCGAAACATTGTGTGTACTGAGGCTCTCCAAACCTCGTACCTTACAAATCCTTGACTCTGGTTTCCCTCGTGGTAGGCTCAGACTCAGACCTGCAGAAGGTGGTCTGACTTTATAGAAATAGACACTTCTGGGAGGTGAGGAAATTTCTTAACAGGGGTCAGAATAATAAGGCCGATTGCAGATGGATACATGTGAAAGCTGATCATGTAACTAGTAGGAGGCAGGAATGGGAATCCAGAAAGCATCAATCCTATTGAGTTTTCAGTTTTTCTTGCAATGCATACTGAGAGGTTGATCCGTAGTAGCCATGTCTGTGGACCCCTGGACTAAGACTAAACACCAAGTTAATCAATAAGTCCTTGGTGCTGTGGCCACAGCTGACTGGGCCAAGGAGCATCTATCCCAGATTAAAAAAAAAATGCGTCTTCAGGGCTTTTCAAATCAGACCCAAGGAAAGGACCCAACACAGTGCTAGGATGCTGGCATGGAACGGGAGCCTGCAGAGGTTGCTGTGGAGGAAGGAAGAAGTTCGGATAAGGGGAGAAAGAGAGAAAGACAAGAGATGGAGAAACAAAGAGACAGAGAATTATTTTATTTGGAGAATTATTTTATTCAGTCCACTCAAAACTTTGGCTCCAGTTGTTTCTGAGGCCGGAACCCGGTTATTCAACTCTCTTAAAAATGTCTCCTATTTCTGGACTCCATTGGGCTAGGTTTTGTCACTTTATCTCCCAGGGGTCCTGACAAGGGTAGATGATGTGCTTCTAGACCGGAGGCAGGGCCAGCAACATCCTCAGCTCCCGGAGATTCACCCCAGACTCCAAGCCACCAGGGAGCAATTTCCCACATCCGCGGTGAGGATTTCAGAGAAATTTCTTAAAGATATTATTTTTGAAGAAACACATAATTCATAGTTATTCAGTGTCAACCTTAATTTTATTATCATATGACCTCAACGTAAATTAGCAAATGTATTTAAGCACATATTAAGTATGTACAACATTGTCTCATTCTAGGAATTTAGAGAAAGCAGTGACCAAAACCAGCAAAATCCCCCTGGTTTCCATTCTAGCTGGGTAATTTGTCAGGGCCATGCAGACTTAGTACCACGGACTGGACGGCTTCCGTGGTAGAATTTTTTTTTTTTTTGTTTTTTTCACACAGGTCTGGAAGTTGGAAGTCAGAGCAGAATGTTGACTGCTCTGGCTCCCCCAGGGGCTGTGAGAGGGGCCTCTTTCTTGGGCTTGTAAGGTGACATGATTGGAGAACCCTTCAGTCCCTGTCATCTTCTCAACTCCACCCCTCTCCCCACCCCACCCACCCCACCCCACCCCCCTCCTCACCCCGCCCTGTGGGTCTACTCACAAGGACACTATTCCTGTAGGAGTAGGGGACAGCCTCAATTTTCATCTAATTTCCTCTTAGAGACTGTCTCCACATTCTGATGTCTCCAGGCATTCTGATGTCCTGGGGAGTTAAGATTTCCACACACAAATTTTGAGGGGACATAGATCAGTCTGCCACCAATCTCAGCACTGAAAGCCACCGAGGCTTGAATGCTGTTTGTTCCCACACTGTAACCCAGGCTGCCTTGACTGATACAAAGGAACAATCACATATCACATCGAGGAGCCAAATGACAGCTTCTTTGAGGTGCCCGTGCATATTTATGGCTCTAATAAAAACCCCATCAGACTGTATTTTAAAAAGAAAGAAAGATTATGTGTGACACTGGCAAGGCTTAATTAGCATACGTTAGTCTCCTTAAAAACAGAACATCATATTTTTAAAAACAAGAAGCTGGGCTTTTTTAAAATTTTTTATTCATTTATTTTTTGTTTTTTTTTTTTTTTTTTTGTTTTTGTTTTTTCGAGACAGGGTTTCTCTGTGAAGCTTTGCGCCTTTCCTGGATCTCGCTCTGTAGACCAGGCTGGCCTCGAACTCACAGAGATCCACCTGGCTCTGCCTCCCGAGTGCTGGGATTAAAGGCGTGCGCCACCACTGCCCGGCTGTTTTGTTTTTTGAGAGAGAGATTCTCTGTGTAGCCCTGGCTGTCCTGGATCTCTCTCTGTAGACCAGGCTGGCCTTGAACTCAGAGATCCACTTGCCTCTGCCTCTCAAGTGGTGGGATTAAAGGCGTGTGCCACCGTGGCTAAGCTAGAAGCTGGGCTTCTTGAGAAGAGAGCCGGGAAAGATCAACATCTCCTTCCAGGCTGACAGGAAAGCCCAGTCCCCCACCACAAGCATGTCCCACAGTGACTGCCACCTTCCACTTCACAGGGATCCCTTGCTCCTGTGACCTCATGGGTACATTCACTGCCTGCCAATCCCATTCCTTTGACCTCACAGGTCTGAGAGAGCCAGAAAGCTGAGGGTGGTTTCAGGTTCTTCAGGTTCTTCTGATCCCCAGGGAAGGAAATGTTCTCCGTGTTCCTCGGGGGCTACAAGAACAAATAAGCACAGACTTGGTGAGTTACAACAGAGGAAAGAAATTATCTCACAATGCCAGGAGCCCGAAGGTCTGCAACCAAGTTTTGGTTACCACTGTGTTCAGCCACACGGTTGCATGCGGCCAAGGACAGCTATTAATATGGCCCAACTCAAAATCATCAACTTACTTAGAACATGGGAGTTGTTTACGGCTTGTTTTCTCCATGCAACTCTATTTACGGTAGTTATCACCAGAAACTTGGTACAGGACCACACTGTCACAGTATCTAAAGGCTGTGGACCATGCATCTGCCCAAAGTCCAAGGAAAGCACTCCTCCTTGCTTTTCCAGCGCCTGATGGCTGAATCCTGATGCTCCTCAGGTGTCGCCTGTGTTACCCTGTCTCCATCCTCATAGGCCTTCTCAGCTCTGTGTCTTAAAGCTCCATCTACTTTTCTCTGAGAAGGACATTTGTCGTTGGATTTGTGGTTTACCGGGATCTTGCAGGAAGATCTTGTCTCAGATCCTTTATCTACAACTTTTCCCTAAGAAGGTCACACCCATGCTTCTAGGAGTTAGGAGGAGTGAGTATATATATATCTCAGAAGGAGGCCACCATTCAACATGCTGTTTATATAGCTTTATAAAAATACCTTCCCACTGGGTGTGGCTGCACACCCCTGGAGTCCTAGTTCTCAGAAGGGTAAGGACTTGAGGGTAGCATTGTGGAGACCAGCTCAGCCTGAAGACACGGGCTGTATGAACGCAACAAAAACAAGTGTTTTCTGAGACAAATGCGGGGTGAAATTTGTGCGCAACTTGTGTGTCCTATTCTTTAGTGACTGGTCTCCTCCTAAGGTCTACATAGGAAAAACTCCCCATCCTTCCTTCTCTCCTCATTTATAGCACTTTCTTCTTCCAGAATATATCAACTCCGACATCAGTTGTGTGGGAGTTTTTCCCACACCCAAAACTCTTGAGTTCCCTGTAAATACCCAGAGGGGATCTTAGGATTCAGTTCTGATTTCATCTATGTGGAACCGACCGCAGGTATGGGTATAAGAAAGGAGCACCGATTCAGGCTATTTTCATAAATCTACAGTGCCCTGATTAGGAGTAAAAATTAAAGTTGACATAGCGAGAGGCTCCTTCTCATATACCATCGACGGAACACAGATAGAGAGGTGGCTTCAAGTGTCAAAACTTCTCCTTGGTGGGCAGAATATTTGCTGGTGTCAGCTGACTTCTGGTTCCTTACAGGTGACTTGGGCATTGTGGGAGGAAAGCTCCAGCCTCCATTTGAGTTTTCTCTCCTTGAGTGACCAGCCAGTTGGGACCATTCTTGAGTCACTCCAGAATGAAGACCTATGTAAATGGGCAAGTGAACCATTTCCAAGGGATGGGGCTGGCCACCAGGTCAGGGAACAGTTGGAGGAGACTCATGGATACTTAGCCGACAAAGGCCTAGGGTGCTGAACACTGTAATGGTCATTATTACTATCATTCATTGCGTAAACAGTTCCAAGCTCTGTCCTCTATATTTCATGGACATTATGGTTAGTTAGTTATCTTAACTTTCACAAGACTCTTAGGAAAATTTAAGTGGTCCTTTAAAGTTAAACAAATTGAGGCACTGAGATCTTAAGTAACTTGACTGAGGTGTGATAGCTAAATAGATATAGTTAAATAGATATTCCTCCTAGAAGGCTACTTTTCTTCTCCCACTGTCCCTCAAGAGGGAGAAAGCAAGAAAATAGATCATACTTCACACCAGGAGATAAATGTAGGGACAGTAGACCAACATTCCAGGAAGACAGATTGTTGGTTCAGTCAAGGGAAGGACTCTGTAACAGTCAATGCTGCCCAGCAATGAGTGGGTGGCAAGCAAGCGTCCAAGCAGAAGTTGGTGACCATCTGCTGCGGCTATCTTAAGGAATTCCACCCTGAAATGGTTAGGCCAGGAGAACCTGATGGGAGGATATATGTGCTTTGTTCAGCAAAATCTCAACTGATTCCAGGCAATTCTAGAAAACCTGGCCTTCCAGAATTGCCTAACAAACCCCTCTGTGGTGTTAACTCCTCACAGTCGGGTCTTCTGATTGTACAGAGATGAGCAGTATGAAATTACCTCTGTTTTGATTTGCCCAGTCCATCCTAGCTCTCAGACAGGAGCTGAGCTAACACAACCTGCATTTTCTTTTCCTTTACATGGTAAAGAACAATGGTATGCTTATACTCCCTTGTAGCATTCCTGAGATGTGAATAAATCCCAAATTCCTCCTCTCTTAATGAATTAATCTTGGCGTGCCAAATACCCATTCACACTTGCTTTATGAGGCAGCTTAGTTTCTTAGGCTGTGCATTCTGAGAATCTGGGATAAGAACTTCCTGGCACGCTCTGACTCATTATGCTTCTCCCTTCTCTGTGTGCTTAATGTCTCCATTCTGGGAAACCGGAGGACACTGACACGTGAAAATGAACTCAAACATAATTGATACCACTACAATTGTTCACACTTTCCTGGTGCTTCCTGCACACCAGGTCTCACTCAGAGACTGCAAGTCTATGAACTCACACTTGCGACACCCCCACAAAGCAAGTTCTATTCCAATTCTCTCCATTTTAAAGGGAGGAAACAGAGGCAGGGGGAGGTAAGGAACTTGCCAGGGTCAGAGCTCCCTTGCTCAGCCCGAAGTCCTGCTAGTCTGCCTCGGGTGTGGACTGTTGACGTTCAAGGGACTCTGGATGTGTCCACCTCCCAGAGCTTAGCCTTGCTTCTCTGAGAAGTGAAGAGCAGATGCTATAGTGTCACCTTCAATCTCCACTTTGACGTAGCCTGTCATGACAGTGATCCAGATGAGACTGCATACGAATCCAGAGGAGATCCCAAACTCATCTCGTAAGAGAGGCGGCTCAGTGTGTGTCTCCTGAGCAGTATATTCGTGAAGGCAGCCTGATTTGATTACAGACAGTCAGACCCTAATCTGGCTGTCTCTCTCTGCAGCAATTACAACCCTCTTCCCTTCATTTATTCCTGAGTATAGCTAGAAAAACAAAAACAAGACTCGGCATGTAGGAAACCATGCTCTTCACCCTGAAGGCCACATATCAGCCCTTCTTTAATATCCCTTTGCTAAGCCACGAATGGCTTCAACTCGTTCATTTACCCAAAACATGCAGCGTGTAGTACATCAGGTGCTCTGATAGATTCTGTGCCGATATGTTTATATTTTGATGGAATCATATTTTCACAGCTGCTTTGGGATTATACTAGCTGCAGCGACAAATAAATCTTCAAAACTCCAGGGCTTAAGAGATAAAAGAGCTTTTTGTTGAGGTAACATGCTAGTCCACTTCCTGTTACTGACAGATATCCAAGCGTTTGATTTATGAAGAGGAAAAGTTGCTTCTGAGTCATGTTTTCACAAGTTTCAGTTCATGGTCACTTGTTCCTATTGTTTTGGGCCCATGGTGGCATGGTACATCATGGTGGGTGTGGGATGGAGGAGACCTGTCTACCTCATGACAGCTCGGAACTGAAAGAGACAGGAAGGGACCAGGGTCTCAATAGCCCCTTCAAGGCTATACTCCCAATAATACGACTTCCTCCCACTAGGCTCCACCTTTAAAGGGTCTACCACTTCCCACTGATGCCAGCTTTTGAAACACAAGCTTTGGGGTGACATTCCTTATCTAAACAATGACCTAAAGTAAACCTATTCTAACCTAGATTCTTTCTCTCTCGTGACTTTCCCTTTCCCAACACCATGGGAGTCATTTGCATCCAGCTGCCCGGTGGGAGCTTACCAAGTATAGAAAATGTTCATTTGCCTCCTAATCATCTTTGCCTAGAAGTCACACATATCCCTTCTCTTCCTATTCCTGGTGACAACTTACATGTTTGGTCTGGGATAGATGATAGGGGTGAGGTTGCTAAGAAAGTCATTCGAGCGGAGTAGGCTCTTCCCCAAGAGAAGTTTCTGTTTTGGTGGCAGCTAGCACAGAGGCTTTTTAGTAGCTCTGTGTGGTGAAGAGAACAGACTGAGTTCATCTCGAGCTGCTGAGCTGGCCCTGGGTTTTCTCTGAGAGGCGCTCTACGCCAATGAGACTGACACTGTTTAACGTGGCTCTGGCAACTTGTCATTGGAATTGCTTTCAAAGTACATTGAAAGCAAAAGGTTCTCTTCACACAGTCCCTCAGCACTGCCAGTGCATATTCTCAGTAGACTAAGATAGTTCTTACAGAGACAAGAGTCTGTCAGAGTGGAGTGTAGACTGTGAGCTGAACACAGAGGCTTAGCCATGCTGTTCTGAATCCAAGTCAAGATGTATCAACCAAGTGAAGGGACTGATTCTCTCACATGTCTGTGGATTCGTTCTGAAGGCAGTCAGTTGCCTAAGATGAGCTATATTTTGAGCAGGGATTAGACTGGTTAAGGCAGCTGGAGCAAGAATGTGGGCATTTTTTTTATATTAAATATGCAATCCAGAATGTCCCCTGACCTTTTCCTTGGTTTCTTCATTTGCATATTGGGAAAGGGCATGGAGTAGATTGCCTCATGTTGTCTTGAAGCCTTGTCCTTGATGATTCCAAAGAGAAAGTTTCAAAGGTGACTCACTGGAGAGTAACCTTTCCTCTACAGTCCAGCGCTGTAGGGTTTAAAGTACCCTCATTACTGCCCACACAACCTCAGGTCTAACTATTCACTTATAGTATCCCTAGTGTCAAAGGAGCCCAGGCTGGGAGACTGACTATCCAGTGTCCCTGGGCCCTCTTACATGGGACACCGAGCAAACCTCAGAGATCCTGGTTCCTCAAACATGAGTTGGAAAAGTGAATTCCCCTCCTGCAGGGATGGTGTGAGCTCCCATAAATGAGTAGCACAAGGCCTGCTATGAGAAACCACAGCAACTGTTGGTGTGGGAATGGATTATTGTGCCTGTGGCTACCCTGTGTGCCATGCCATTTGCTCACTAACATGGATCGGGGACCGACAGATGGGACCCCTCAAAAGACACTCCTTCCTTCAGCAGCATCTCTTCTTGGGCAATGCTAAAGAAGATAATAGAAGTTGGGAACATATTTCCTCTATTCCCTACTCCCCTGCTGGGGCCCGCCACATAGAATTCTGACTGTCTTTCATGAGACAGCCTTCAAATGCTCCAAGTGGTTTATAAACATCCTACTGTCTTCCCAGATTTTCCTGCCCATGCCTTCTGTGATTGTTCTTCTTATCAAAATGAACTCTTGTTCTCTCACAGTTCAGGCTACTCCTCAAACAGGAATCAACTTGTCGTTATATCCCTGAACCTGGGACACAGGGAATGAGGCTCTAGGTGTGGCTATGCCTGACATCAGCAAAATAGGAATGTCACTCCTGCACATTACAGTCACCTGGGGAGCTTTGAAAATCGATGCATCCACACAGGTTCAGCAGATTCCCCCAGAATTTGCCATGATGTCTCTAAGTGTTGAGGGGCTGTCACTGTGCAGCCGAGGTTGAACACCAGGGCTCAGGACTCTTTTCTCTGGTCTCACATTACATCAGCCTCTGCTCATCCCATTCATCACAATGCTGAGGCATATTTAGTTCACTGCTGAGAAAATAAATCACTGTCTTTTTTATATGGAAAAAATCATGGATCCCCAATTTCTTGCTGTATTCTTGCTTTTATAACTGCTTGGGTGCAAATACCTTATGCTTGTATAAATTAAATATTTGTTTACATTTGTATCTTTCCCATAACCCAGGAGGTAGGAAATGTTTTCTGAAAAGAGCAAAACTGTAACTATTTCAGACTTTGCAGGTCACATGTCTGTCACAACGACTGACTTTTTCATTACATTGCGAAGCGTCTGTAGCTATGCATAAACCAATGGATGTTATTGAGTTGCCTTATTTGCAAAAAGAGGTGATGGGACAGATTCATTTACCTGCTGCAGTTTGACAACCCCTCTGTAAATATTCAATGGAAGTTTGGTTCTCATTTCTGCCACAGAGCACATCAGCTAAGGCTTCTAGTCTCCTTTGATCAACAAATCAGGTAAGTATCTGTTCTTTGTCTCTTCCTAAGTCATTGATAAAAGTGTTGAATAGGCAAAAAAATATCTCTCAAAACCACAGTGAGGGGCTGAGAAGATGACTCAGTGGGTAGAGTGTTTGCCATGTAAGCTTGAGGAACTGCCCAGAACGCACATAAAATCCCAGCCCAAGGGAACAGAGTTTGGTCAGCCATTCAAGCCAACTTGGCAAGATCCATGTTCAGTGAGAGACCCTATCTCAAAAATAGAGAGCAATCAAGGAAGACTCCCAGCACTGACCTCTGACCTCCACATGCTTGCATCATCACATGTGCCTGTGTAACCCCACCCCCACCCCACCCTGAAAAACAAAAAACCTACAGAGAGATGCTACTTCATACACATTCACATGGCTTTTGTTAAAAACCGGAAAATGAACTTAGGAGATGGCTCTGCAGGTCAAAGGGCTGACTGTGCAAGCCTGAACAGTCCAGGCACCCATGTCAAAAGCCGGAAGTGGTGGCATGCCCATCTGTAATCGCAACACTCCTTCCCAGAAATGGGAAACTGAGGCAGGAGAACTGGCTGGGAGCTTTTGCTCTAGCTAGTGCAGCAACAAAACAAGAGAGATCTTGTCTTAACAGGATAGAAGACAAGAACGGGTTTGTGAAAGTTAGCCCCTGATCATCATATACATACTATATATACATACTATACCACTCACACCCAATCCCAGGTGTGTGCTTGATCTCTCTCTCTCTCTCTCTCTCTCTCTCTCTCTCTCTCTCTCTCTGATGCCCTCTTCTGGCTTGTTCAGGTACGTGTGTACATGTCACACACACATAATAATAATAATAATAATAATAATAATAATAATAATAATAAGCAGGAAATAAAAATTCTAGCAAAGATATGGAAGAACTGAAACCTGTGTGCCTTGCTGGTAGGGATTGATGTAGGAATAAAACAGCAATTTCTCAAGAAATTGGAGACACAATTACTTGCACTATGCTTTTGAACATCTATACAAAAGAATTGAAAGCATGGACTCAGGCAGATGCCTGCACGCTAGTAGTTGTAGCTCTAGTATTATAATACATACAACAATACAAAAAAAAGGTCAAAACAACCCAGGTGTTGCTCAAAGGACGAATGAATAAATAAAACCTGATATTTAATCACCATGGGATACTACTCTGGATTGAAAAGCAATAACATTTTGGTGCTAGAGAGATGGTTCAGTGGTTGAGAACACTTGCTGCTCTTCCAAAGGACCCTGTTTCAGTTACCAGCACCCACATCAGGTAGTTCATAATTGCCTGTAGCTCCTGCTCCAAGAGGATCTGATGCCCTCTTCTGGCTTGTTCAGGTACATGTGTACATGTCACACACACACACACACACACACACACACACACACACACACACACACACAAATAAAAACAAATCTTTTACAAAACAATAAAATTCTGAGAAATTTGATGAACCCTGATGACATTGTGTAAGTGAGATAAGCAAGACCCAGGAGAACAGATATTCTATGAGTCCAATATGGGATTCCTAAGGTGGTAGCAGGCATAAGGCTGTCAGGGTCTCAGGAAGAGGAATGAGAGTAATTGTTTAGTGGATGGAGAACTTCAGTTTGGGAGGTAGAAAACCTTTTGGAGATGAAAGGTGCTGGGCTTAGTTGGGGTTACTCTAGATATGATGAAACACCATGACCAAAAGCAATTTGGGGAGGAGAGGGTTTATTTGGCTTACGCTTCCACATGGTTGCTCATCATAGAAGGAAGTCAGGGAAGGAACTCAAACAAGGGCAGGAATTGAGAGGGAGGAGATGATGCAGAGGCCGTGGAGGAGTGCTGCTTACCAGCTTGTTTCTCTTGGCTTGCTCAGTCTGCCAAGACCAAACCCATGACCACTGGCTCAGAGGTAGCACCAGCCACAATGGGCCGGGTACTCCCCATCAAACACTAATTAAGAAAATACACTATAGGCCTGCCTATAGCTTGATCTTATGGAGGTATTTTCTCAATGGAGGCTCTCTCCTCTCAATGAGTCTAGTTTATATCAAATTAACATAAAACTACCAGCACAGTGGTAATAGTTATACCAGATGTATTCATTTTGTTCGGCTGAAATGGTAAACAATGTATGTTTTTGGCTACAGAACTAACCCCTAACAACTTCCATTCAATTTCATCAATGCCTGTTTGTTGGTTGTTGCTGTTGTTTTTAATCACTGTGACAAAATACTAAGAACACAGTTACAATGATAAAGAGTTTATTTTGGCTCATGGTTTTAAGGGTCTCATTCCATGGGCACTTACCTCCACTGCTTCTGGGTCCAGGTGAGGTGAAGTATACCATCACAGCAGGGAGCCTATAATGGGGCAAAGTTGCTCACTTAAGACAACCAGAGGCCAAGAAAGACATCAGAGAGCCAAGGTAAGACATACCCCTAAAACTCATGTCCCAGTAACACACTTCTTTTAATCAAGCCTCATTTCCATGTACTACCACCTCCCAAAAGTCCATTCAACTATGAATTTATCACATGTTAACCCATTCATTAGGTCAGAGCCCTCAGGATCCAATCACCTCCCAAAGCCTTTAACACAGGAGCATTAAAGAGATATTTCACAGCTAAATCACAAGAGCTGGTGCCAGTCCACCTTGAAGACAAGCATTCAGAAGGCTGAAGGCTGCTGTGCATGCCAGCTTTCTACCGTCCTGATGAAATAGTGGAGAAAACCAACTGACAGGGGCATGGGTTGATTTGGGATTACAGCTCCAGAGAGTTCAGTCCATGGTTGACTGGCTCATTCCATTGTTTCTGAGCCTGTGGTGAGGCAGTAGGCCATGACAGAAGGGTATGGCAGAGCAAAGCTGCCCACCTCATTGTGGACAGGAGAGAAAGAGAGACACAGAGAGAGACACAGAGATAGAGACACACAGAAAGACAGAGAGATGAAATATAAACCCTGAGGTCCTATGTCTTCTAACTAGGCCCCACCTCCTACTATTTCTACCACATGCTAACAGTCCATTCAACTCTAACTACATCAATGGATGAATCCATTCACAAGGACAGAGTCCTCATGATCCAATTAATTACCTCTCAATGACTCCATCTCTAAACATTGCTACTGCAGGGCCAAATGTTCAATACAAGAATCTTTAGAGGACATTCCTGATGCAAAATACAATATTGGTATTAGGAAATTATGAATAAAGATAAATAAATGACCCCAATGTCGATCTCCCAACTCTACTGTTATCATTTGGGTTGGTTGAGGGGAGGGGCCATTCACAGATAATCATAATCTAATAAGCATTTTAGTATGTCTATTATTAGTATTCATTGATCTACCACCTTGGTATTCTGTCAGGAAATGAACTGAAGTGGAGTTTTCATTCTAGAAAAGACCACTTGGTAGAGGGATTCAGCATCAGCTGCAGAGAAATACGCAGGTTGCCCAGCAGGGCACGGCACTGAGGTGTTTTGTCTGGGGTCTCCTTAGCCACTCAACCTGGGCTCTCACTTGAGGAAATCTTACTGATGCTCCTACCACCACCAATACCAACAAATCAAGCCCTCTTCTTTCATGTATTTCCTGATCGCTGTGAATTTTATGCATTTTTTTATGCAAATTTACCCACAAAAGAGCTGGCTATCTCAGAAGCAAACTCCGACTGAAGAGGGCTGGCTGTGCGGTGTGTAGCACCCTTTAGTGTTGACTTGGGCAAAAGGTCAGACCCTTCTGCAGTGGGCATTTTTGTAACACAATTTTTAAGTTTTTGTAGTTTCCATGTTGTAATTACGGTTCCAGTGAAAAATTCATATATTAATTTGAAAACATATAGTAATAAGGAAGGTGGAGAAGTTGGAAAAGGGAAGGAAAGAAGAGAAAAAAATGATGCTTTTTGATTTTATCCTTGGTTTTCCAAGATAGTATTTAATAGAGTAAAAGGCCTGTATTAAGAAGCAAAATTATGCTGGCAGTGGTGGCACACACCTTTAATCCCAACACTCAGGAGGCAGAGACAGGAAAATCTCTGAGTTTGAGGCCAGTCTGGTCTACAGAGTAAGTTCCAGGACAACCAGAGCTACATAGAAAACCCCTGTCTTGAAAAAAAGAGGAGGAGGAGGAGGAGGAGGAGGAGGAGGAGGAGGAGGAGGAGGAGGAGGAGGAGGAGGAGGAGGAGGACCAGGAGGAGGACCAGGAGGAGGACCAGGAGGAGGACCAGGAGGAGGACCAGGAGGAGGACCAGGAGGAGCAGCAGCAGCAGCAGCAGCAGCAAAATTATTTCCAATTGTACTGTATACAAGCGCTCTTTTCTTTATTATACCATAGAGTTCCATTCAGATAGGTAGATGGGTAGATGGGTGGATAGATGGATAGATAGATAGATAGATAGATGGATAGATAGATAGATAGATAGATAGATAGATAGATAGATAGATAGATAGATGGATGATGGATGGATAGACAGATTGTGTTTTGGTGTATATGCACAGGTGTATATGTGTGGAGTCAGAGGGCAATCTCAGGCTCTTCAGGTACTGCCCAACTTTCTTCTGAGAGAGACTTTTACTAGTTGGAAACTTGCCAAATAACCCAGGCTGGCTGGGCAGCAAACCCCCAGAAACCTGCTTGTCTCTACCTCTACTGCACTGAAATTATAAGGGAATATCATCACATTTGGCTTTAAAAAAAAAAAAAGTCCATTCCAAGGATTGATCTCAGAATCTCATGCTTCTAACATAAACACATTACGTATGCCCCAGAATCCGTGTAGAAGAGCTGGCCACAGCAGCGCTCATTTGTACTGCTAGCACTAGAGACGCAAGGACATTCGATACCTTAAGTCTTGTTGGCTTGGCACTAAGAGAGACTGTCTCTATAAACAAGATGATGGCCCCTAAGGAGACAACACTAGAGGCTGTCCTCTGGCCTCCACACATATGGGAACACACATGCATGTGCATCCCTTCTCACATGCACATATGCACACGCACGCACGCGCGCGCACACACACACACACACACACACCTTTTATAAAATGTTTACCTGTCTTTTTAATGCCCATGCCATCATCTCTTGCTCTGCTGGTGGCCACAGTGAAGAGAAACAGCAGTAGAAACCATCTCATAAGTGCCTGGAGGGGGCTGCAACATCCATGGAGGCTATAGCCACCCAGTGTAACTGAGTTGTTCTTATACATGTGCTTGTGGGGGAGATGCTCAATAACTGAACTACTTCACTGAATTACTGGGTGTGTTTTCATCTATCCTACTAGCAACATCCCCTTCTCAACAGCTTGAAGGATGCTCATGTCACAGACTCCAGAGTGACCCCTGTTACCCCATTATGCTGTCCTTCAATGATCACTATGTCTCTCTGGTCCTCTTTGGTGCTCCCGTGGTGCTCCCACAAGGCAAGGGCTACACTAGTGCACACAGACAGATGAACAGTACCTGGTGCGTCATCTCACCTTCAAATTCTAGTCAGGAACTGGACCAGGCTTTTTCCTTTAAGGCACAAACCAGCTCCCAAATCATGACATGGAGACTTCTTAGTAGTTATGAATGTGCAGCCTAACTTAGGCTCGTTTCTGGCTAGCTCTTTTAACTTAACCTGTTTCTCTTTATCTACCCTTTGCCTTGGGGCTTGTTACCTTTCTTCTGTATATCTTACTTTCACTGCTTCTCTGGCTGGCTGGCGTCTGCCTGGTTTCTTGCCCCCGGTTGTGCCTCTCCTTCTCCTTCTCCTGTTTTTCTTTTTTCCTTTTCTCTAAGCCTGGATTTCTCCTCCTGTTAATTCTCTCTGCCCACCAGCCCAGCCTGTCCTTTCTCTGCCTAGCGATTGGCTGTTTAGCTCTTTATTAGACCAATCAGGTACCTTAAGAAGGCATGGTGAAACAGATGCAACATATCTTTACTTAATTAAACACACATCCTCACATCATTAAACGAATGCAGCATAAACAAAAGTAACACACCTTTACACAGTTAAAGTAATATTCCGCAGCATAAACAAATGTAACACGTCTTTGCCTAGTTACTGTGATATTCCACAACAAGGAACTTTCTGTCTTCTTCTACCTCCTCCATGAAGCAGATGCCAAAGATTTTGACAGGGGAAGTGCCTGTGGGAGAGAAATATTAAGGAGGAAGTTGAGTAAATCTTGCAACTATTTAATTATGATGCAAATCTAATGGAGAATGAAGAATGGCAAGAAAGCTGGGTAGATTTGTAGAATGCCATGCTAAGGAAGGTTCTTAAACTGAGAGAGAGGCTTCTTGGGCCGAACCGTCTAAGAAGTATGTTCGTCTACATAACTGACCTTTACATGGTTACCACCTTCATTTGTTGGCTGGCAGCAGCAAGTACTTGGTGTGGTCCTGGTCCAAGTTTACAGCCCTCAGGTAGTGTGTGATGGTGAGTATCCTAGCGACCATCACCCCTTCTGTCCTGCTTACTCATCTTGGGGGTAGTATTCTTTGATAGTTTCATATATGTACATAATTATTTTGACCACATTCACCTCCTGTTCCATTCTTTCTTGCCCCTCTCACTCCTGTTAATCCCCTCTCTTTCCAAACAAGTCCATCTCCTACTTTCTTGTCTTATTATTTGTGCTGGTCCCCCGAGTTTGGTTAGGGTTGCTTGTATGAGCAGAGGTGAGGTGTGTGAGGGGTTTGTCTCACCTGCCAACACTGCTAGCCATTCTAATTCTCCACTTTCACCAAGGTCTATGACCCCATCACTCCACCACCACCCACCATCCCTAAGTATTTCTCATCGAATCCTTGTTGCAGGATCCATCCCTGGAATGTACATTGCAAATACCTTTATCTAGGGGATTTTCCCACTCTGTGATGCTCAGCTGGTCACAGAACCCCATTTATTCACAGTGTTTACAATGTTGCTCTAAACCAGAGGGTTTTTTTTTTTAATCTTTGTGATGCATCAGAATTGTCTGAAGGTCTTATTAAATGCATATGGCAGATCTCTGCTCCCCAGCTACCCCCTATACAGTAGAACTAGAGTAGACCCAATTATGGTGATATTTTAATTGTGCTGAAATGTGATTTTATTTGTATGTTAATAAATAAAGTTGCCTGGGGATCAGAGCTAAGAGCAAGCCATTTAGCAGAAGTCCGGCAGTGGTGGCACACGCCCTTAATCTGATCACATGGCAGGCAGAGTCTCTGTGTGTTCAAGGACACAGCCAAGCAGTCCGAACCTTTAATCTCAGTACGAACCATAGAGATCTGGAGGTCTGTATAGACAGGCAGTGATGAAGAAGTCATGTGGTTGGGTTTAGAACCAATGAGAAGGCAGAACAGAAAGGCAATAAAAAAGACAGGACACAGAAAGAAGGTCTCTCTCTTTCTCAGGGGAAGGATGGCAGTGAGTGGTAACCTAAAGGCTCTGATCTTCTGGGCTTTTAACTCTGTATTTGGCTCTGCGTTTCTTATTTACTAAGACCATTTAGAATTACATCTACACCCAATTTCTTCCTTCCCTCCCTCCCTCTCTCTCTCCCTCCCTCCCTTGCTGTGGATATTGCTCTGTATAAATAAAATGCTGATTGGCCAGTAGCCAGGCAGGAAGTATAGGCGGGACAAGCAAAGAAGAGAATTCTGGGAACAGGAAGGCTGAGGCAGAGAGACACTGCCAGTCACTGCCATGAGTACCAACATGTAAGATACTGGTAAGCCACGAGCCATGTGGCAAAGTACAGATGAATAGAAATGGGTTAATTTAAGATATAAGAACTAGATAACAAGAAGCCTGCTGCGGCCATACAGTTTGTGAGCAATATAAGTCTCTGTGTGTTTACTTGGTTGGGTCTTAGCGGGACTGGCAGGTGAGAGAGATTTGTCCTGACCGTGGGCCAGGCAGGACCAGGAAATCTCCAGCTACTCTCCCTCCCTCCTTCCTTCCTCTTTTGTTTTGTTTTGTTTTTTGAGACCAGGTTTCTAAGTGTAGCCCTGGCTGTCCTGGAACTTGCTCTGTAGAATAGGCTGGCCTTGAATGCAGAAATCTACCTGCCTCTGCCTCCCAAGTACTGGGATCAAAAGCAAACTTAAAAAAAAAAGTTCCCAGGTGATACATAAAAATCACACTTTGACAATCACTGATGTAAATTCACTGCACTAACTCCCTGGCTCCATCAATTGACTCAGAAGACCTGAACGAAGCTAATCGGTACATAGTGTTGCCATGGCAATACTGTGCTCAGTGAAAGATTCCCTCCTCAAACCATGTCCCAGCAGCAAGGTGCAACCTCAGCAGGGGGACACATGGATTGAGGCTGAGAACATGGAGAAAAAGAACTTGAACCCAGATGAATCCATGAAGCCACTGAATCAGCCAGCCCTGGAGCTTGACCCCCATTCTGACTGAACCTCTAAGTTTGTTCATCTTCTTATTGACTTGAGAAAGATTTTCTGGTTACTGAAACCAAGCATCCTAAATTATACTCTGGACAGCACCAAACTCTGGCTAACTCAGCTGCTCCTTGACTGCACTCCTCTGCCTAAACAGACAGGAGCATCTGTGAAAAATAACTGCACAGATCAAGGTGACTTAGTTTGCATTCTCATGTGACTCCCTCAAGCACCCGTCCATCCTCTTACAATGTGACTTGACCTCCTATAATGATTGTTGCCCACTTTCTCTCCTCTTTCCAAATCACCCTCATCCAGGCAGTCTCAGTGAATAGTTCTGCCAACATATCACAAGAAAAGTGGGTAAGGCAAAAAAGAACCATCCCATGTGTACCAGAAAGTCTATCAACACATCTCTGCGACTACCTACATTCTCCATGCCCTTCCCACTGAAGATCAAGGAGGACCATCCACTTGGATTTGGGGTCTCCATTCCTTTGTGTCCTCAAGGACTCTTGCAATTACCCACTTCTCCCAAGCTACATTGACTTGTTCCCACCACAAGATCATTCCAATACTCATGTAAATAAGATCAGATTTGACGTGTCTTAAAATATTCTTTCTTGGCCTGGTTAAAAGCCCATGACTGGGCCGGGCGGTGGTGGCGCACGCCTTTAATCCCAGCACTCGGGAGGCAGAGCCAGGCGGATCTCTGTGAGTTCGAGGCCAGCCTGGGCTACAAAGTGAGTCCCAGGAAAGGTGCAAAGCTACACAGAGAAACCCTGTCTCGAAAAACCAAAAAAAAAAAAAAAAAAAAAAAAAAAAAAAAAAAAAAAAAAAAAGCCCATGACTGGAGAGGTCATAGGCCCTGTTGGATAAACTATTCTGTTGTTTTTGCTAAACAGAACGTGGTGCCTATCAAACTGTCTCCTAAAGAGTTGTGTCTATGCACAGAAATCAGTGCTGCTCTCAGCAGGGGCCAGAGGAGCTGCTTTTTCAGTGGGCAGTGGTAACTGCCTGCAATGGGACATCTGTTTCACCTCTGCTGAGGTTTAGGCATCACTGAAGAAGAAGGTAAAAGCCTGGGAAGAGGGGCAGCGCTGTGGAGAGCCATCTTCTAGGCATGACAAGGCTGTAGTGCCTGTGGTCCTGGGGCAGCTGTGACTCCCTACACAAGACTTCCCAAAGATGGAGTTTGTTAGCATTCCTTCATGGACAGGGGAGGAGCCCACTGGGCCCATCCCTCTCTAGGAAGTTGCTAATGGCTGGGGTAGGGGAGGACACTTCCTTCAGTGGTGACGTCACTTGTAAGATGCCCGTGATCCTATAGTTAGCCCGTCATGAAGCTCATGTCAGTGACCTAATGCAACTCACTGGGTCGGGGGGAGAGAGATACATAGATATCAATATTGACGTAGACATAGACATAGATATGAAATACAGATAGACAGACAGACAGACAGATAGAGAGATGATAGATAGAAAGAGAGGAAGAGAGAGAGAGAACAATATTGTTGTTATAGAGTCATGGTTGATATCTAATACTTATTATAGATGTACTATGTACTTAATTGGTCACCTTAACACTTTATTATGGTTATAGTTGTTGATTAAAAAAAAACATGTGCTTCAACCTTTCATCAGGAATGGGGGAGGGGTTCAAGAGAACCCACACCTCCCTAAGGGACTGGTGGTAGTTAATAGTTGCTTGGGCAGTGGGGGAGGTCACTTTTCTCAGTGGTGTAGCCATGGTTAAGTTGCCCAGGCACCTGTGTATGACCTTCCACTGACACTCATACAGACAACTGTAACTAAATTCAGTGAGTCACACATGCACAGAAGACATGAGGGTAGGATGGGGATTTGTTGGGAAAAGCGGGATGGGGTGAGGATGATGAAAATTTGCTATATATATATATATATATAGCAAATTTTCATCATATATATATATATATATATATATATATATATATATATATGAAGCTATCAAACAAGTGAAAGAAAGAATATTCTTAAAAGGTCTATATTGGCACCAGAGCTGCTCTCTTTTGCCTTCTCTTCTCCTGCGGCTTATCCCCAACCTCCTTCTGTTTGCCTGTCTTTTGTGTGGGTGGCCCACTGAGTTTAACTCTGGTCATTTGCAGGAGCTCTTAAACTCACCCCATTGTGTTTCCATAACATCTACCATTCAGCCAATATGGTACTTTTCAAGGTCACTGTCATGCTATATGGTGACTCATGTCCAAGATGGCCCCCAGTCTTCTCCTAACCATATCCTCCAGGAACAGCTGACATTCTCTGCCACTCTACAAATACTTCAAGCTGATTCTGCTCCTCTTCCGCTACCCTCATCTCCTGAACTGGCTCTTCAGCCTCCCAACATCTAGAGAGTGATGCTCTCAAGCACTTTTGCCATTTTTCTTCTCCCCAGTTACTATAATACTCCTCCTCCAAGTAACCCTCCCAGTCACAGGGACACAGATGTGCAACTGATTGCTGTTAGAGTCCTAGTTCTCTGTCTGACAAGCTCTGGGCTCACATCCAACCATCAACCTGGTGTCACCACTTGAATGTCTAATGGGATTCTGAAATTTGGAGTCACACATGAATGAATTAAAGACCACAGACCACAAGTGATTATGAAAATTGCAGAGTAGACACCAAACCACGCTAAACAAAGAGCAATCACTACAAACAATACATAGTCATGATTATATTGTCTGTAAAATTTTGGTTATCATGATGCTAT